TACACTGATATCGTCCGTACTATACCGTTTGTTGCTACTATAACTAGCAGCCAACGACCCGCAACGCTAGACAGGAATCGGAACAAGAACTGATTGAGTCCAACAGCGGAAGAAGGACGTTTCCTTGCGTTGGTTTCTCTTTTCCAACGAGGTACGTACCGGTTCCAACGAAAAACGTGAATCAGCATACCGYACTTTCCACTCGTYCCTTGTGCTGTGCACAAGGCAGAACCATTCTCATCAGCCKTTGTCCATTGCTGCTCAATATATCTCGGTCTTTCTAGTAATGGCTTCTGCTGGATGTGTTTCGTGTTTTCATAACAGATACCAGGTGCATAAGGTCAGCAGTGGTTGGTCTTCCAATTCTCCCTGTTGGAGATCAACACCACCATACAGGCTTTTTATCATGGTGGTGACCTCTTCACTAGTACAATCAGAGAGAACAAGATCWATTCTAAGCATCTTTTTTCAAACAAACAACAGCTTCTGCAGTTTTTTCATATTGTATCAGATTTTGGTGCTGGCAGTGCAGCAGTATCTGTTGTGTAGTAGACTCAAACCTGACAGATTTTTTGTTGAGAGGAAATACTGTGAGTATTCATCCTGTTCTGACTACTCGTASGAGGAGAGGTAGTATCAGTAGCAATTGGGGAGTCCAGGACCCCCTGCATGCTGGGAAATGCCTGAAATTTGACCAAAAGAGAGCAATTCCACTATGATGGTGCAGTAAAGAACTGCTTGTGATGGAGATAGTAGTAGTAGTACTAGTATACTGTTGCATTGCAGCAGAGGACAAATATCTTTCAAATAGTTATTGTGCGTCATCATATATGTGCTAAAGCTCTGAAGACACACTGATGAACCAGTATTTATACTACCCACCTACTACTATCAGCTAGCAACAGTTCCATGGAGCAGTTCAGCAAGAGGAAAGGAGGGGCAATCTCTCCCTGCTCTATATGTGAGGTGATCTCAGAAACGGTGATATCATTGCTGGTGTTCATGACTTATAGAAATAGGGCAACACTGCAGTCWTGAGATTCTTGGAGTCACTTGCACCAATTTGTCATCCTGCAAGAAGAAGAATCCTGTGGCACCAGTTCTAGAGTCCACAGAGGATGAGGACAAGGCAAACAACAAGAAGCAACTTCTTGACTGGTGCAATGATGATGCCTCCTGCTAGTAATACTACCGCCATTAGTAGGCCCAACATCACTCCACTCCACTTGTCTATTGAGTTTACTGTAGTACTAGATCAAAAGCAGCCAGCCTCCTCCTCATAGCTTCATGATTCAATGTCAGCACAACAACACTCCTAGTACTAGTAGTACTAATGCTTTCTTGTACTTAAAATCTGGTCAGATCATGGCATTTTGGTTTTGCTCCTCCTCTGACCCATTCAATCAGAACAAGAAGCAAATGCCTGGTGAGGAGGGAAGATGGTTGTTGTTGCAATTTTGGGTCATTCCCAAAATCCAGCAGAAAACCCATAAGCCAGGTGGGTCTGAATTTGCTTACTTCTGGTGGGAAAGAAAGTTCACTGACAGAGRAAGCTCCACCTTGACTTCCTTTTTCTGGGTTTTTAGACCATCTGGTGGGTCTACGGTACTACTAGTACTACTACTAGTAGTACTACGTACCAGTAATAGGCTTTGCTATTTCGGCAATGGCCCAATACAGTGCAGTCTGTAACATATGGTACCAGTCATTTTGATATAAAATTACAGCCAAAATTAATTTGTGATTTTTGGCCACCCACTAGTGCAACTTTTGCAGACCTACTATTCCTCTAAGCTGCCAGCAGAGGAGCATCCCAAGGAGGTTCCCAATGTTTTGTAAGTAATTATACGATCAACTTGGACTGGGTGCTTAGTAGTCTGGTGGTCTAGTAGAGTTTTTTTTAATAGAGTTCTGGCCTATTTTCTAACCAGCAGTGAAAACTAGTAGATCTATGTGGGATCAATATTAAAATACTACTGGGCTTCAAAATTAACTGTGATTTTACTACTAGTAATGGGCGATTCCCGTTAATCTAGATGGTCTAAAAATCTAAAGTAGACCTTTTAGACTTTTTAGTTTAACGGGAATCAATAAAAACAGGGGCCCAACAGACATTTTTTAGGCGCTCTTTCTGGTCTTGAAGGAATTTGGAATCTCAACAGAAATGACTAGTCGCAAGACTGCATTCAAAAGAGCGCGCACGCAGGCGGCTCTTTTCAGTTGAGTCCTACAACGGATTTTCATTCTTGGATTCCAGTCTAGATTTAGACTTTCTGTCAAGCGTGGATTTTGCGTTGACAGAAAGTCTAAAAATTCGGACTAGATTGTCTATTTTTGGTCTGTCTGTCTGTCAAAAAGTAGACCATCTAGATTAACGGGAATCGCCCAATAATTGTTGGTGTTTGARTAGAAAGCCTAATTTGGTACGAGTACGTTACCGTATGAAGCAATCGAGAAAAGGAATCCTCGTCCCMTCATCGTTTGCGTAGCACACTACTATGACCGAATCTTCTCCCATCTCTTCGAATTCATTCCTCGAATTCATTCCCATTTTTTTTTCGAGTTTTGCTTGATGCCGCCTTGTGACGTACCTGGTATTGTACCGACCTGACGGTTCGCCACTAGTTCCAAATGGAAYACCATTACGGGCATTCGCATTTCGAAAAACATCATCAAATRGCGCGAACGCAACCAAATAKAAACCGTAGCCCTCGCGCGCCGGTTTTTCTCGTCTGTCGTCGCACGATACTTGCAGTCATTGTCGTTCAATGTCGTAGAGAGTCTACGGGAACCGAAAGCAATGCGATTTGGAAACCTAATTCTAGATCGAATTGCGTTCCGACAAGGAGGATGAGTTTTACCGTGCCCCACGGCATCGGCGGGGGTTSATCTCAAACGTACTACTACCTCTTCTTGTTGTGTAAGAAAAAATAGTACTACAAGTTGATCYAAAGCAAAGAGGAAAATTTTCAAAATTCAAGAATCGTATGCCATCGCACACGTACTCGCATCATTACGAATCTACACAGTAGAAAGTCATGCTTTCGTAGCCGAGGATTAAAAGACCCATCATTTCACAACATTCCCCYCCCACCTCATTTTCTCTACTATCAACGAACCGATAAAATGAAACTTCTTTTCACAGCTTTGACAGTGATCGTCCCGGTTGCGACGGCCTTCTCGCCCGTCAGCCTTAGCAAGGTTGCCTCCACTCCCTCCACCACTGCCGTATTTGCCGAAAACGGAGAGAATGGATCCTTCGAAAAGAAGAAGRTTATTGTTTTGGGAGGAGACGGTTTCTGCGGATGGCCTACCTCTTTGTACTTRTCTGATCAAGGACATGATGTTGTCATTGTGGACAACCTCAGTCGAAGAAAGATCGACCTCGACTTGGGATGCGATTCCCTTACTCCTATTTCCAGCCCAGAGGTGAGTGCAGGTCGATCCGATATYATACTTCGACGCACGTGGTTCAGTTCTTCATCAAATTCGTTTTTGTTTCATATGCATTCGAAGTCGTATCCAGCGTCACTCGCATGGCATCAGTGACTGCCACGATKAAGGTATATGACGTCGCAGGAAATCTTTGCCGTCTTCGRCAGGAAAGGTCATCTCTGTCGACAGCATCAAAAATTAGATTGTCGTACCTGTACCTACCTTTATTGCCTATGTCTCGTCTAATCATGATGTTTATTTCCGCATTTGATGCCGTTTCTGATTGTTTGYAACACACTTCCGAAATACTCGACGGGCGATTCCCCATAATCGATTTTTTACGGCGTTTTATCTAAAAATACAAATGGCCTCAACAGACCCGTGTCCAAGCCTGGAAGGAGGTCACAGGCAAGGACATTCCTTTCCACAACCTTGATGTTGCCAAGGACTACGACCTTCTTGTGCAGTTGATCAAGGATGAACAACCTGATTCGATTGTCCACTTCGCCGAACAGCGAGCTGCCCCTTACTCCCAAAAGAATTCGAAGACCAAGCGATACACTGTCGACAACAACGTTGGCGGATCGAACAACCTTTGCTGCGCCGTTATTGATGCCGATGTCGACGCCCACATTGTTCACTTGGGTACTATGGGAGTTTACGGATACGGAACATCCGGRGGAGAAATCCCTGAGGGATACATTGATGTCACTCTTCCCGGAGGCCGAGAATCAAACATTTTGCACCCTGCCTACCCCGGATCTGTCTATCACGCCACCAAGTGCTTGGATGCCATCCTCTGGCAATTTTACCAGAAGAACGATGCTCTCCGAATCACCGATCTTCACCAAGGAATCGTTTGGGGAACTAACACCCCACAGACTGCCAAGGACGACCGCCTGGTCAACCGATTCGACTACGACGGAGACTACGGAACCGTTCTTAACCGATTCCTCATGCAGGGTGCCATGGGTGTACCACTCACCGTCTACGGAACTGGAGGCCAAACCCGTGCCTTYATTCACGTCACCGACACTGCCCGATGCATTGAGCTCGCYATCAACAACCCCCCTGAGAAGGGCGAACGCGTCGAAATTTTGAACCAGATCGCCGAAACCCGACGAGTTCGTGACATCGCCGAGATGGTTGCAGGAATGACCGGTGTCGAAGCCAACTTCATTCCTAACCCCCGCCAAGAGGCTGCCGAAAACGAGTTGGATGTATCCAACCGCAAGTTCCGCAACTTGGGACTCGATCCTATCACTTTGGACACCGGTCTTTTCGAAGAAGTCACTCTCATCGTTGACAAGTACAAGTCCCGATGCGACCCCAAGAAGATCCTTCCTGCCTCTTTCTGGAACAAGAAGCGAGCAGAGGAATGTGCCTCCCTCGATCCCAACTCGATCAAGATCAAGGACGACGCCAAGGAAACCGTTGCCTAAATCAATCTGCCCATAATAAATAATGAAAAATGTTGAATGAATTTTTATAGAATATTTTTCAATTCAGTTGGAACGCAAAATTGAGTAATTGCATTTCGTCTTTCCCGGCCACACAAAATTATCACTACAATCGTGATTCCATGCCAATCGAAACACTTACACGGAGAACACCTCATCAGACCTTGCGCATCTTAAAATACACAACCCGGAACAGAAAACAATCATGTTCCGGAAGTGATGATGTGACGTTGAAGTCGCTTTTCCTCGTCGTGTTTTCTTTCGTTGCTGTCTGTTTGTGACGAATAACAGTCATTCAAATGTGCACAAATCTCATCTAGTAGTTTTTCCCAAAGAAGCAGGCGACGTAAAATAGTCARTGGCAAACATCGTGTCAGCCCGAGTCGCGAGGAGTTACAGCAATTGCTAACTTAAATATTTCGAGGRATGTCTTCAGAAACAGGCTGGAAGTTGGTGATTTGCGAGAAGTTACTTCACTGGTCGCCACAGATACAACGTCCTCAACCAGTATATTAATCAGTATCAACCAGATACGCTGTTCAGATCCAATCTTAGCACGTATATCATCACAGTACTGCCATTGAAAATCGTCGCAAACCTTGCATTGGTTGGGTGGCTATTATTACAAATTTCTCTACTTTCAGTGTGTCCACCTTCGACTCGGTGGTCATCCTTTTGAGATAATCCGTTTTGTTCCAAGCTACCGTTGAGTTTTTGACGCAAGATCCCAATCGAGAGTGCTCTTTCCTTTACGTGAATCGGATTTCGTGATRCATTTCCTATCAGCAATACAGTAAAATTGCCAACAGAATCAGAACGAAAATAATGAAAWGGATTACTTCTAGATTCTGAAGATTCTTTAGGTCCATGGGCGAATCTACTGTTAAAAATGAGTTGGATCGATKGAATTTTTTTGCTTAGGTTTATTGTTGAACCGGATCTAATTTGGGGGATGTACATACCCCTGCATACTGTATTGTACTAGCAATTCTCCCCCCTCTCAAAATGAAGAAACAATGATGGTAACAGTTTCTGTTTTGTTTTTGAATTTTCGAAAATATTGGTATCGTTTTTGAGGAATAGATTWTTGAATGATATCACCAATAGCGAGCGAGSATAGGGTRCAATTTCATAGAATAGTTGGAATAMAGCTTGGACAATGGTGGAGGGAACCGCTGTRAATCATTCGTATGATGGTGGAAACGAGGATTACGATTACATCGGGAGAGGAGGATTCCTTATCGAATGCGGCGACAATCAGGAAGTTTTAGGTATTACSAAGGAACAGGCAGAGCTAGTGAAACTCAATTGTCCATTCTTCCAGAAATGYCTCCACCCTGGAGCCGAYAGCAACGGTGAAGATGACAGCGATAGTGGGGGATCGATGATGATGAAGGAAGCAAAGAGCCGAATAATTCACAAACCAGACTGGTCTTTGGCAATCGTCCGTCACTTCATAGAAATTCTCACCAAGGGCAAGACAACCCTCTCGAATTTGGAATTGGTTGACGGCGTCTTGACTGCTGGCGATCAATCGCTGGCAGACCTTCGACTATCCAGTTTGGTCAACTAYATCGATCCATGCTCCAAAGAAAACGAATTTATGAGGCTGGTCGATCCGAGCTTCTTTCGATTCTACTTCCAGGCGGTTGTGACCAGCGACCAATGGTTGGCCTTATTGGATCGGGGAATTTTGTTGTATCGCGAGGAAACGAATTTCGTTGTGCAACTCTACAAGGATCGAGCCTTTGACCGGGATCAATCGGTCTCGCGTCGGAACTTGGACAACCAACGGTCGGATTTCTTGGTTCACGCGCAACGGCCAATCGAAGCCATGTTTGAAATCCAGAAATGCCTATCTGCGTCCGGCGAAAGAAATAGAAGCGCGAGATGCATCGACAATGTCACGGCGGAAGCATTTAGTATTTACTTTGAAACCACCGAATCCATTCCAAAAGAACACCATCAGCTTATAGAYCGGCTTGCTGGGGGAGAAGCCTACATTCGAACCTGCGCGGATGCAGCCGAATACCAAACCGAGGGATATACCGTCAAGGCGTCACTGGATGTCCTATYYAGAGCCATAGAACCCATATCGGAAGAGAGCGTGATTCATTGCTCGATACGTGTCGATAATCCCACTCCCGATACGCTTGGCCGCTTCATCAATGCCTGCCAAAAGGTTAATGACTATCCGGGAACTCTAGGGATAGACGCACCCATCAACCGATATTTTTGCCGAAAATCAATGGGAGATATCCATATTGTCCTGAGGTACATGAATGATTATTCTACTTCATCAAAAGTGTCCGAGGATTTTCGACTATTTTCCCGTTCTAGTGGGTCTCAATCCTTCTGATGAAATTGGCACACAAGCATAAACGATTTTCACATTTATACTGAATCAAAGAGACAACCACATCAAGTAGTTACAGTTTTAATAATTCGCTCGGACACTTGGTCAGAGGCCATTTTCTTTCCTATCTACCCTTATTGTATGATGACAGTAATAACACCATAAAAATTGTAATTTTTTCTTCGACGTAAGTAACAACTGAATTGGCCAAACCTGGTAAAAAGAACAACGCCTTCATTGTTCTGAAGTAGAAAGTAATCATCTTAAATCCCAAAAATAAGATGATTCAAATTCTAATAATCCATGGAAAAAATCTAGCTGAACGATCCATAGATAGCCTAGCTATGTGTGCCTGGTAACGACAGCGTGTAGGTAACATCACATGCAAGAATTTATACCTTCGCTAGCTGTCTCCACCTTTCTGTACGGCGAGCTCTGGCTTGGCCAAGATTCTGCGAGCCAGTAGAGCCTGCTGCATGTCATCAATGTGCAAACAAATGTTCTCCAGTGCGAAATGCTATCGATGTTGTCACTTTCCGATGCCGATGAYTCTCTGCGCYCACYGAAAAAYCATCGTGCCAACCTGTTTAAATAGCCAAGAGAAAACGACCTYACATTTCCCATCATGCATAGGTATCAGTTGAAGCAGACGAGTACGGAAACAACAAAGTATAAACCGAATGTTTAGTTCCTATCTTTATTCTTTCTTTCGCTTCATGGTYGAAGTCAATCCTATGCGGTCGCCTACGTTATCGATGCAATATTTTTTTGTGTTCTCTGGTGCGAATGGCACTGCGTGAAACGGAAMTATTCCTTGGAGACCATTATTAATCCACACAGTGCGAGCTTGAAGCAAGAGAATTGTGATGTCCATGCCGATGTCTCAAATTCCAATCGATTGCAATTCTACCATGTTTTTTCAGCATGCTAGCACAATTCATGCAAAAGAGATCCGCCGTGGAATATCATTTGAATCACCAACAACCATGCTATTGATTTGCAATGATTGAGAGTAAACAGTAGTGCTTGCTGTAGACCCACTTGTAAGTACGCACATCGAAAACTCGAGGAGTGTAAACAGGTTGRTTATGGAAAATATTTTGCACTTCTGGCGACTACGTGGCTCCCGATCATAGTGCAAATGGATTCAAGAATCAATTCTTGCGATGCATTTTTGGAAAGAGCAGCAGTGTGGAGTGTATACATATGTCGTTTAAATAATAATTACTCGAAGTAGTATTTAGAAAAATCAACATTCTGCATACTGCGTTTGCCAAATGCTGTGACAATAATATCATATTTTATGCATGTTGACTGTTTTTGAAACTTGATTACACCCATCATTGTCCCTGAACCTATCACCAATCCTACCAAATGTTTATGAAGATGTATTGTACAGTTCAACACAATGACCTATACAACTAATATTGATTCTAGATCATACTCTTCTTATCATCTGATTCCCCTTAGTTGAAAAGAGCTCCTGTGAAATTGTTATCATTGGCGACGCCAAACAAAAAACGTTCGTGAGGTTTAGATGTGAGAAAAAATGATGAGTTTCCACATTACTTTTTCCGTGGCAGCAACGAAGCATGGTTGATAGTCATGCCTTCAACAAACTCTATTCCATCCCATTTTCTGCTTTCAACAAAATTCGGCGAATGGCTTGCTCTGGTACAAACCTAAAGCGTAATACAAGGCGTATATTTATCGCATTTGTTCCTACTTACGGGCCATGTCAAAGTTCGTATTGTTCTTCTTGTTCTGCTTCCCTGTTTCCTTCCACTCTTTCTCACGCATGTGTTGCTCCTTTCGAACGTCGTATTCTACCGTGTCGTAAACGTTGACGTCCTTCAAGTTAGCCTTCGTCGAGGAAACCGTCTGCTTTTCT